TGAAGATTTTATTCTCTCTGACTCTCTTCCACACATTACTCTATGAGAGGGGAGGCCAGGAAAGGATAGAAAGTAAGTCCATAGAGAGGTAAGATTTTGAAGTTTTCACCTCCTTTCCTGAAGGAGTACATGGCTGCATTATTTTTGAAGGACTGTACTGAAAATTCAGATCTTTAATGGTTAAATTGTCATTTAATCTTTTAGAAAGCCTAAAATTAAGGTCAGTCTGATTGTGTTCCTAAGCCAATTATAACACAGTTCCTCTCTTTAAAATATTTTTAAATATTTTTTATGGCAAAATCATCAAATTTAACCCACATGCAAGGTGAAACACTGCTTGTGAAAGTCAGCAAAGTTCATCCAAAGGATTTAACTTAGGTGCCTCTTGATGGATGAAAGCATGAAAAGAGACAAAGGTTTTAATGTGTCTCTTTTTTACTTCATGTTTTCGTGTTTGTTGTGTGTGCAGGGTAGTGAACGTTTTTGCAATTATACCTAAAAGTTGGAGGTGTACTTGGCTGAAGTGACCCAAATCTTGTAAAAGTAATTCTGATAATTACCCTGCACTTTGAAAAGAAGGTCTGAATTATAATTATTTATAGGAGAGATATTGCAAGAAATGTTCTGCATTAGAACAAGGCATGATTTTAATGTCCATGCTGAGCACTGTCTTTTAAGATACCAATGTAGGTATGCCTACATTAGTAATGTGTATGAAAAAGATTAATGCTTAATGGAAGACAGGCAAGATAAGTACAGTTTTTGCTGTAATCAAGCATTTGCTTTCAGCAAGTCCTTCAGCTCGAGTCTACCTCAGCAGCATAGTAGAAATGTTATTTAGGTCCCTCTATAGTTTTGAAGATGCCCCTGACTGTACAGACTCCAAAGGTATCAGTTGATGTGCTGCTTCTATAAAAACAATTTAAGTAGCTCTAAGTAATTCTTTGTGCCAATTACATGAATGAAGCTGCAAAGGGACTGCAAATTTAGAAGTCCTCTAAAGTCCAGTGCTGGTCCAGCAATTCAGAAGCTCCTTAGCAAGACATTAAATCAGGCTCTTTAATCTCTCTAAGTGGTGCTTTTGAGCCCTGCTGTGTTCTGAAAGCGGTAGAACATTTTCACTAGCCAGTAATACCTAGTGAAAACAGAATTCTCAGACTGCAAGTTTCCTGCACTAAACAATAATGCAGAGAAGTTTAATTTTTCTGCTACTTATCAGTGCAGTTTTGCTGTTGAAGAGTGTGTAACTGCAGCTCTGCTGGAAATGGATCAGCTCTACCCTCCATTACTCTAACGTCCTGTTCCTGTGCATTGCTAAATATCCTGTCCATGAGCGAAGGTGAGAAACCGAGGAGTAACAAGAGGAAGAGAGAATGGGAGTTTTGATACCATGATTCCTCTCAGGGGTCCTCAAGCCTCTCCTCACAGAATGGCACTTTTACAAATGGATGACCAGTTATTTAAACTTGGATACTAAAACTTAGAGAGCCTAGAGGTTAACTTTAAGCTATTTGAACTTAGAATTAAAACTTTCTTTCAAAAGTACAGCTCTAATGGGTAATAGTTGTTTTATAACCATGAAGACCAGTTCTTTGGCTGCAGTAAATCCATATGGTTCCACCAAAATGCATGAGGCTTTTTGGCTGCTAGAGAAAATCTGTAAGGTTGCTGATTTCTAGCGAGTAACTTCTGTAGTCATATATACACATTGGGGTGGCTCAGGCATATACCATCTCCCACCTCTTTTCACTGGAAAAGGGAGGAGGAAAAACACTCATGTTAGTGAGTTCCAGTTTTGTCATGTCTCTGATTCCTCCTGCTCTAAGCTTTTGTCTGGCTTTCTAAAGAATTGTTCTACTTCAATATTTTTTCAAGTAATTTACATTATTTTGAAATTCTGTATTACCTATGGTTATTAGTGTTCTAGAATAGGTTTATAGGATGTCATCCTTATGATACAAGTACTCCAAGGCAGTATGATGGGGCATTTGGCTTGTATTTCAAATAAATAATAATTATTTATTTATAATTACTTAATTTTTCCTTAACATTCATCCTCACTACTGGAGGAAGGAAAAATGCCACCCAGTGAGAGAAGAGAGTCCCTCTGGGAATAAAAATTTTCCCATAGTCCTTCTTTTTTCAATCAGGTCATAAAATCCTTTATTTCAGTAATCTCTAGCTGGCTAAAGGGAACATGCTTTTTCTGTGACTCATATTTGGTGGTATTTTTATTTTGTTTAGGGGAATCAAGAAGTTCTGTATTTTGTGAGGATATTTTGAGAGCCATTAATATCTTGGTGTAAGTGAGTTTTTATTATCATGACTGATGTCTGTCCTCTAAATTGTAGGATACAAGTTTGCATTCACTGGAATATGCAGGACAATGAAATTGGCACAGGATTATACTTCAGGGCAAAATGTTGCAACCATATATGCTTTTTACTTAGATTATTAACTTGCATATGCTCACACCTATGTATGTGCACCTAAACGCTCACCCACTATTTCACCCTTATGATCATTCCTAACTAATACAGTTCAAATTGATCTCGCAGCTAATAAGTAATTTTGGGGAATGGGGGAGTTTTGAAAGTTTATTCCATGTAGAGCTCTAAATATTTTAGACAAATTCCCCTGATTTTCTTCAGGCTTACATTTTGTGAGTTTTTGTTGTTGTTGTTGTCTTAGCAGGAATTCTGTTGATGTTATTTTTAGTTGTGTTAACTACTGATAAAAGCAAACAAAGTAATTTAGACATATTTTCTAATTTATTGGGTTTTAAAAAATACTTTATTATGGTTATAGCCAAATGGGAGGAGGGGGTGGAACACGTGAGAGAAATCTTGCTAAAATGATGTAAAAATGTTCACAGTGGCCTAATAGACTAATGCTTTTTAACAAAGTTGCCAAGTACAGTTATCTAAGTGCGTTGTCCAAAGTCTAATTATTCTTCTCAGAACATTCAGCTTTAAGGGGTCTTTTCTGTATTGCTGCATTTCATGACAATACTTCAGAGCAGTGAAGCATGATGCATAAAGAGGAGGCTTCATTCTCTTGAAGTATTCTTCTGAAAGAAATCTAAGTATAGTTTTTCTTGTGTGTGAATACCCTATAGTTGTTCCTGTGTAGGTACAGAGAGTCACATGTGGATATCCCACTTACCTATAGTCCCATTGCTTTGAGTAATGAGTTGTAGTGCAGCAGGCATTTTTTCTAGAAGTCTGCACAGTAATTTCTTAAATGTTTCAACAGGCTTTCCTGTAAATTAGTCCAAACACCTGTCTCCATCAGATACTTCAGAAATTATTTTGAAAACTGTATTTTAATTAACCTTCCCTTATACTCTGACAAGCACTTTAGTTTAAAGTAATTATCACTGAAGAATTTAATGAACTGTTTAAGGAAAATCATATATATAAATTAATATTAAAAAAACTTCACAGAATACTTTTTTGTAAAGTGCTTTTTTTATTATGCATTGTCAACAGTTAAATGGTATGTTGCTGTTTCATGCAAACTGGAACACTGTTAAGAGAGCAAATGTTAATCCATAAACATGTTAAGAAAAAAAAAGTGCTAGATCTGCATAAGTTTTTACAGGCTTAAATATAAAACTGGAGAACTGCTTCAGTTAAAATAACTTTGAATTAGTTACTGAAATAACCACCAGTCAAAATTTCCCCGTGTTCCCAAACCTTGTTTCAGTTCTGCCTAGGATGTTTCTTTTAATGCTGTCTTAAAATTTACACTTTGTTTGTTTGTTTGTTTTCTGTCATGCAGTATAAATAAGGCCATATTTGCAGCTCTAGGAATATAGCAAAACAGTCTTATTCATCAACCAGTTGTGGATATTATTTAGTAAGGAGTTCATTTCAAACTAAGTACTGCATGATATTGCCAAAAAAAGAACCCCAAACCCAACCCAACAAAAAAACCCCAACCGGCCCCCAAATCTTCTGGTTTGAGCTATAACACAACGAATACATACAATATGTCATGGAACAACAGCTCAGTCACAATAGTAACAATACCCAAGAAAAAAAGCTATGCAAATACTTGATCTTTTTTTTGTGCACACCGGGTGCTTCACATCTTAATTTGTTATAAATAATAAACAGTAAAACTAAATCATTATGTTTCTGCAGGACCATCATGTAGTAAAATATTTCTTGCAATATTCAGGAGCATAGAGGCAAGGTGTCTTAATTCCAACTGAAAAAAATCTATTTTATGCATCTTCATTGCCTTAAATATCAAGCAAATAAATAAAGTCTGAGTAATTGATGGTATATAAAACAATTTTTCATATGTAATCTCTGGATACTAAATTATTCAAGAAGGACTATAAAACAACTGGACTGAAGAAATACCTATTTATGACATATTTCATGATGAGTGACAGATGTGGCTGATCATATAGCTGTTTTCATCATAGAATATATTTCTTTTAATATGTTCTTCTACAGTGAGCTGTTTGAATTTGACTTTCTCTCCTTGGAATGATGAAACAGCTGTATATCTTGACCTCAGTAAATCTAAGCTTGTGTTTGTGTTGTTCTTTGACACTTCGATTACTTAATTTTCTTGACAGGCATTAATACCATCCAGATCTGTACTGTAATTACCATGTTCTTCTAAATATGGGCTGCAGGACTATTTAGTTGTATCTACAGAGTCTGTTAGACCACAGTCTAAAACCAGTTGTTCTTTTTTAAATTAAGATGTTTTCAGAGTGTCAGGTAGAATAATATTTACATTTTTGTCATGTTTTTATTCTTCTACAATGCATAACAACTCAGTATCAAAGGGGAAGGTTGTATTAGTTGCCTCCTTTAAAACTAATGTGCTATTAGTATGAGACTTCTGACATGTGGCATCTTTATTGAATTGAGCAAGACTACTGGAGGTAACAGCATCTTCAAGTTCTGTTCATCCCATGAAACAGTTACTGTATCACTAGAATAGCTCTCATGAGATTCATACATCTCAAAATTTCTTCATTTCCAGACCCTATTTGCCAGCTTTGCAAAGACGTGCTGCGAAACAGCGCAAGCTGCGTGGCTGAGTGCTGTCATTGGCTTAGATGTAGCTGAGAGAGGTGTTTCCTTCCTACAAGTGTTTAGATTTGAAAAAGTGGCATTATTGTTATTGTTGTTCAAGCTGAATTCTTTGTGATTCTTTTGCACTGTTACATCATCAATGTTAGTAACCTGTACAACTTCTGAATGATCAATTTCATCTTTTTTTTTCTCATCAATGTTAGTAACCTGTACAACTTCTGAATGATCAATTTCATCTTTTTTTTTCACTTGTTCCTTTCCAGAACTACGCACAACCACATTATCACTTTCATTAATATCTTTTTTGTTTTCCTCCTTATTCTGTGATCCTCCTTTCTTATTCATCTTATCTTGCACGTTCCCGGCTTCCTCATCTTTTCCCTTATTGCCTGCTTCATTTTTCTCTGCTTTACAGATACTTGTACCTTGTTTTTCAGGCAGAGAGCTAAAGGATGAGACTCGATTTTGTGCACTTGCAGTGTCACTTTTCTTTTCCTCTCTCACAGCATTTTTTTCCTGAGAATCATTTTTACTGCCCAGAGGTTTATTTGTATGTAAACTAGAATCTTCTTGAGCTGGGGGCCACGCTGGCTTATTTACTTTAACCACTTCTTCAATAGAAAATATTTTCTTAGGTGTTTCATCATCTGTTGAAGGAGGCCATATCATTTTTAATTTACCTCTTTCTGTGGATTTTTTCAAAGTATTATCCAAAATATCAGGATGGGTACCTTCAGTACCTGAGTACAAATCTTGATCAATTTCTGTAATTGGTTTAGTATCAACAGGGATACTATTAATGAGATTTATTTCTTCACCATGAATATTGCCAGCTGATTTACACCGATCTTTAGAATTCCATAGTTCTTTATGCTGCTTGTGTCCAAAACCTTCATCATAATTTCCTTTTGATTTGAAAAGTTGCTTAAAATGTGGTTTACAATATATTTTTCCATGGAGAGATGCATAATTTCCCAGGCTGCAAAACAGAAGAAAATTTCTTTTATGCTTTCACATATCATAAATCTACAGTGAATTTTACGCTTGGTATTTCAAGTACCCCTAAATGACAGTTTATAGACTGAAAGGAAGAGCAAAAAGAGAGCAAATTCAATATATTGGTCAATTCTGAACACCACCACCCCCCCACAAATTTATCTTAAGCTTTTAATTGCAAATTCCTATACAATCAAAGTCAAAATTAGAAGTCATGCTTCGTGATTTAAGAAATAACAGAAAGCTATTCAGTTGCTGCACAGCATAGGCTTCAAGTAGAAATGTTCAACAGCACTTCAGAGTTGTTAGGACCTTTTTCTTCATCATATGAAAGACTGAATCCCATGTTTTTCTACAACATAGATGGAGAAAATACAGTGCAAATTTTCTTTAGCCTTTGTGTGAACTATAAAATTATATGTTAATTATATTTGCATTCTCCTCCTAAATGAAGTAAAGGACGTGTGTAACTAACCTCAAAGGTGTTAAAATCACAACAGTCAGCCTTTGTGGTCTGATAAAGCAATAAATACTGCATTTCATATAAAGGTTACAAGAGCGGTTTGCTAATGCAGAGAACCATCATAACTCATTTTATGAATAGGGACAACTGTGTTCAGTTGTCTTAATTTCCACGCAAGTTTCTGTGTTTACTGTTTCTTGTTCATGACCTCTCCTGAATGTCTGTAACAGTCAGTAGGAAGTAATATGCAGAAGAATTTGGAAGGTAGTGGGATGAAGCAATTCTTTAGAGAATTTAAAGGACTTGTTCCACATTGCTGTGCAGACATCAGTAGTAGAGAAGAAAAAGTGAACTCAGGTTACTTCCCTGTCAACTGAACATCCTCCAGGCTGAAAAGCCCAGCTGCAAATAATTTCACCACCTGTATTTATGCAGAGTTCTATAACTGAACATGTAGTTACTTCTTACCTTAATTGACTGCCACAGTGGTGACATCGGAAACATGATTTATGAAAATTCTGCTTGTCGGCAACCAGGCATTCCATTGGGTAAACTCTCTGTTGACAGAGTCTGCACGTTTCAGTTTCCTGAATCTGCAGTTTCTAGAACCACATATTAAAAAGTTATGAGTTAGTTTAAGCCACATATTATGATCTTTTCTAACTGTGTCAGTCCACATGCTTTGTGAAAACTGTAATTTTCTTTATCCATTAACTGATATCTCATCTGTCAGTTTTAGGGCTTGCTTTGTGTTCAACTAACAGGTATACTTTGAAAGTGAAAAACTACTCACCTTTCCCTTTTCAGA